CCAACAAAGGCTTTTGTACACATTTGTCAAATAATAAAAGAAAATACACAGTTGCAAGACTACAGTACATTTTACTTGTAGTAGTTTAAACTAGCTTCAATGTGTACAAGCCATCATACAAAAGTTCAAGCCACCATACTTAATTTTCTCCCATCTTTTAGCCTTTTGGAGAACTTGCCTTTCACCACGGCAGCATCTCTCTTCTTCTCCCCTTCGTTTCCACTTTTGAGCCCCTGAGAGGTTCCTTTTATGTGAGTCCATCATTAGGTGCAATGCTCCTCCATTAGCATTTACTCCAGCCAAAACAGTCAAACAAGCTCAAAGTAGTGCACACTGGAGCATCTGGGGGCAGACAATGATAGGGTGAATGCAGGAAGAGTTGTGTGTGTGTGTAGGTGTGTGTGTATGTGTGTGTGAGTTAAGGTCGCTAATCTGTAACGTGCCTCTGCTATTGATTCATATCATTTACTCCATGACTGTGAGGGCGTGGGCACGGTGCATGGCAAAACCACCTTGGGCAATGTCCATGTCACCCATATCAGAAAGTGCCACTAATTACAAACTGTAATATATAAATTAAATACATTCAGTTTTTGTAAAGGGTTTTAAGCTCAAAGGATAAAATCCCATCATTAGAAATTCATAACTTTTTATATTATTGGTCAGTAACTGTCAAGGTTTACAATTTTCTAACAAAGTCAATCAGTTTCCCTTTTTTTCAGTATCATGCAATTGCTCTTATTTGTCCTTCAAATTAAGTAGACAAAAACAACGATAAATCCTCTAAGGTCTTTTCAGTTTTGGATCAGTTGCATGGTAAATATGGCCCTAATGACTTAGCAGCAGAGGGCTTTGTTGTTTAATGAGCAGGCTCTTCTCTTCCATTATGATCAGATGAGAACCTAATTTGATTCTCCCTCCTGACCTCTATCCCACTCTGAAAGGAAAACCCATGGGATTTATTAAAGGTTGGTGTAGCAGTTGTGAATCCCTCACTTGTTTGAAGACATGAGGGATGAGTTGCCCTTGATAATGGAAAGTATGTTATACTCATGGCAACACACACATACTTTAGTATGTTTTAGTTCTATGTAATATTTTTATAATTATGCCCAAACATTTCTTAACTGCAATGTTCACAAATGTGCCCCCACCTTCTTTAAAACCACCAGGCTTTGAGTGGTTATCTGTGGTACCGGGTGGGCCGGTCCTACTTTCAGCATGCGAGGGCCAGCCCTCTTTAAATCATAACTGCCCCAACACTTACTGCAAGTACCTGTGACAGTAAATAACTCAAGGAGCTTAAAACATAATACAATGTTACTTAAATGATGCATGCAATATATATAGCCCTTCCTTCTCATGAACATCCTTGTGACAGTTGGCATATGTTGTAATTTTCTATTTCTTCAAACTGTAAAATCCTCATAACAAACTAAATTATAATAAAACTAAAATGGTTTCTTTAAACCAAACTACGATGTTTCTCTTATATTTGGCAAATTTATGTTCAAATATTTAGAAAAAATATGTTGTGGTGCATGATGGGGTTTCACATCTGTTTACATAGACTCGCAGTGAATGCTTACACACCGCTGAGCTTTCAAGTATTCATTCTTGAAGAACTGCCTGTCTGCCTCTATATTGTATTGTTTTATATTGGCATTTTTACAACACTCTGGCTTACGTTGTAGCCCAAGTATGTGTGTGGGTATCTGGCAGGCTTTGTGCATGTGTGGACGTTACGCAAGCAGCTGTCACTGTCGCGTTCGTGTTAATAACCAAAGACAGTAAAACCACATCATAGAAGTCTTGGTGATGGTTGTCGTGTGATGCTAGAAGATAGATCAGTTAATCCACAATGTGTGTATTGTGTTTCACTTTGAGAGGTACACGTTTGACTGTGCTTCTATTTTTGGGCCGTTGTAGAAGAAAAAATGCCAGGGCCGAAAAACGTTCCCAGTCCGAGCCTGAACACCACCACCACACACCCTTGCAGATTTACAGAGAACCATGCATTTACTTCCATTCATTTCAACCTTTTCTATGCTCTAACCTTGACCCTAAGCCCAAACCTAACCACTGCTGGAACAAATGTCATGCTTTCCTAAACCTAATTCACACATTAGTGCTAAAACTGATATCTAACTCCAAAAAACTGTGGACAATAAAAAGGTTCTCCCTTTACATCAAAGTCTCCATTTTATATGATATATTTGAAAATATGAAAAAAAAACTAACTTATTCTTACTCAGCTGCAAGTACAAGTACATACACACTCAAACACACATTTACAGATCCAGTTCAAGGCATGAGTGAATTGAGTGATTTCTTAGGGTCCCAGAGCAAGTACATGCCCCAAAAGAACGGTTATTGTTTGGGCTTTATGCATAAGTAACAATGTATATCTTCATGTGATTGTTGCATCTATTTTTCTAAATGTACAAGCTTTCCCAAACTTAAAAGAATAAAAAATTATCTAAGTTCTTTAATGATAGAGGAATAATCGAGTTGGCTGGCAGGGATTGGTATTATTTACAATGAAATTGGCACAGATCACTTACAGTTATACCATCACTGATTTTGCAAACAGAAAAGCTATCTATCTGTCTGTCTATCAATCCATCCATCTATAGCTAAAGCCAGGGGTACCAGAGTGGGGAAAATTTAGGAAGATTCTTAAGGCCGAGATATACTTGCGCTTTTGGGTTGTTGCGATGGACTGTGCGCGGCATGCACAAACAAATAGAATGTCTGTATCCTTTTATAGTTGACACGGATGTAGGTGCTGTAGTCGCAAAGTGGAATGCAGAAAAAAAGAGAAGAAACAGTTGACGTTCCATTTCCAAAATGGCAGAGCGCAGTATTGTTTATTTAAGAATGTATGATTATTAAAGAATACTAGGTGTGTTTATGGCAGCTACACACAAATACACTCACCGGCCACTTTATTAGGTACACCTGTCCAACTGCTCGTTAACACTT